GCTCAAATCAAACAACCTGTCCACTAAACAATAACAGGCTAACATAATTAACGTATTGTCACATTTATGAAGGACTATAAACGAAGTTTGGCTTCGTAAATGGATTTATTGAACACTTACAGAAGTAAATACAAGTAACTATAGCACTATCGCTAATTCACACCTTGCAGTTCACTACAGCAAATACTAAGACTTCTCAGCCTGTTGTATCTTCACCTGTCGTTGTCTGGTAATGGCTCCCGACTCCGTAGATTCCTTAACTTCCGTGTTCGCGGCTTCAAGTCTTCTCCTGCTGTTACTTATCTCGCTGCAGCTCCAGAGCTTAAATAACTGGCACCTAACTGCCTAACTACCAGACTTCCGGTCGTCACAAACCAGTCTCTTGCTCTTCTCACTGCCGTTTCAAGTCTCTCTTCTAATGGCGGCTGAACCTCGTTACATAACCTCGACACGGTCAGCGCAGAAACAGTTCTTGTTTTGTTGCGTGCGTCTGTTGCGACATTGCCTAGAAATGGCCGTTGTTTACAGAGTCATTATCTAGTAACGGTTATTGTACAGTTGCTTATTTCACGGATTAAGAATGATATAAACCTGAAATCGAATTTTGTCGATCGTCTATAAACAACGGTTCGTCGCATAAAAAATATTTTACAAATTTAATTTGGAAAGAAATTGAAGTGGCGTGCTTAGAGAATGGAAGGCAATTAACAATAATCTTGGCATGTAATTCGTATAGGGAAAACGAGAAATCCTTATAGACTGAAGGTTCTCACATCAGTAACTAGGAAGATTATGGACTCCTGGGCTTTAAAGCTGTGTAGTTCGGAGACAGCCGTTCTCCACTTTACCGGGGGATACAATCCAGGTGAGAGTACACTTCAGCATTTGAAGAATTTACATAAAGAACCTCTTAAGACGGAGATGGGAGGATAACATTAAGATTAATGAAATATATATCGAGAGTTGGAAAGTCGAATTTATTCATTAAATGCTTTGACATTAGCGATGATTGATAATGGATTATATTAACGCAGGATTCTTCGGTTATTTACGCCTAATTATTATCAGAATAATTAGTATAAATGTAAATATATAGAAATATTATTAAAGTGTCTGCTGCAGGAGCCTGGGTCGGTTTTAAATTATAGACTCTCGAATGTTTCCGTTGAAGACAGTAAATGTCGCATTTTTTTTTTCATGAATTTATTTTAGTGTCTCTCTGAAAAAAAAAATTGTGAAATAATTTAATTTTGGTTACAGTTGTAAATAATGGTTGAGCCTTAACACAATGCATGAACTTACAAAGTTATGTAGCTCATTACGAACGACCGAGCAGTCCACTCTAATAAAGAATGACTTTCTCTACAATCGTGTAGCATATAACAGATACGAAACCTGTATTAATACTTTGTTTCCGCTGATTTTAATATATCGAATTTAAGTGAATCCTATCAGTGAATGCCCACTGTTAATCGTTTGTTTTAGTATATGGGAGTGCCTGATGTCATTAATCACCTTGATGGCAGACCGTACTAGGAAATAAACAGAAGTTTATTAGATATGATTAGAAACCAGATATTCGCAGAGGGCCTCTAGATATAGAATGGTGACTGCACTTAATTTGTCCGTGAATACTCTTACAAACTTTTTCATTGATATGGTCGATATTTCCTGGGCATAGAATTACTTTATTAATACACTGTGCAGAATCAATTATATACGTATTTTTCTGGCTTTTCCTATAATTTTTATGCAGTGCCTGTAAATTGTTTTCGAGTAGCAACGGTGTTATAGTATAAATATACATGAATCGCGTAACTTTCCATTTTAATTTAAAATCCTCTAAACTTTACACTATATTTTACAAATTTTTAAATAATTTTATTCTAAGTAGCATTTGTGTTCCGATGAGTGGCTCTCTGTGGAAGCAGCATATAACAAACAGGATTCCTATATAAATATTTTCTGTTTCCTACTAATTTCTAGTCACTTCAGAAAATTGTTCAGTCGGTCCGCCGATCAGTCATTCGGGAAAGTTACGCAGATCAAGTTAGTGAAGCCACCTTAGCCATGTCAATCACAGTCAATGATATGAATTTCTTTCTTGACTCGCGGTCGTGTAATGAGAAATTTCCAACACTTCGTCTTCAAGCGCAGCATGACTGTATCTATCGCCGTCACTATTCGGCAACTTCTCTACCGTGTCTGTAAAGCGGGTCTGTCGAACGGGTAGGCGTTTATCATTCGATAATAACGTAGACACTTATTTTCTTCAGAGGCATCGTGTTTCCACTTTACAAGATGGTAGCATATTTTATATGTTGGTGACAAGTCACGGGGTTTAGATTGATAATTGGACTTACTGGATTTTCATAGCTCGTAACTACATGTAACTATAACTCTTTAACGGTTTTACACACTTTACAGTTCACCGTAACTGCAGCATATATAAAGTATTCTATGACTTCACTAACTCGTTGCTTGGTAACGGCCCCCAACAATGGAAAATTTTCATATCTTCTGCTTACGTCTTTGCCCGCTGGCTACGATCTCACAACTAGCTCATGAGTCGGAGTTAGCGTCAGAATCAAAGGGTTGGAGGTTTACGGCCAATAAGTTCGTCTTGACGCCAAGCCCCTTGAGACCCATGATCAGAATTCTTATCTTCTAACTGAACACTTGCGGTTATAGTCCTTATGTAACATACTCTCCCCTCTTCTTGGCATCTCCAGCGCAGTCATTCTCAAGTCCGAGTCCTGCGGGGTTCATGACCACATCTTACTGTCTCAGACTCGAGACTCCATCAACCTGAAGGGCCAGATTGTAGTACTTTTTCCCCAGGAACAGGGTGGCCCTGTTATGCCCCCAGGCACTGCGTTAATTTTTCTTTGCCTCCTACTACTCGTATGGCTAAGGTGGAGTTATTTTACTCCGCCCCCCCACACGGGATCTAATTAATGAAGGCAGCTCCTAGCCATGATGTACTCGCGACAGAGACCGCAAAGAAAATATCACTTCGAACAGTTCCTCTAACGCTGCGTAAGTATCCGCTGCTGGTGACGTGAGTTTGTCGAGCTGTTGCCTAGCAACATCTGTTTCTCCTGGCTCCGCTATTCAGCCTTTCAGGTTCCATGCCAATATACATTTTTATTTATATAGATATAATATGGCGTGTCAGGAACCCGGAATGGTTGAGGAGATCAGAGTTGATTTCCTAGGCAACGACCAACGTTCCCACGACAGCGGCTAGGTAGTAGAACGCTAGCCATCCCTAACAGTGGATTTTCCACCGTTACATACGAACTGATGAAGCAACGTTTCGATAGCGGCAGGCGGAATGAACCCTTCGAGATGGTGTTCCCTATCGAGTCCGCGTGGAAGTTATAAGAGTCCAACTGCTGCAAGAGACGAGTTCAGTTTGTAGTTGACCTTAGAAGAGCAGTCAGTCTTCAGTTTGGCAGTAATTGTGATTGTGAATAATTGTACTTGTAAGTTCATATGTTGAAGTTAAAGTTAAAGCATTTCTTGTTCATAATTAATTAGGCACCACGCCATGAAGACGTATGCGGGAGTGGAGGTATAGCTCCATGCATTATTTAGAAGAGGAATAATGCGATATTTAAAGGGAGAGACAGTTAACTGCAATACACTAAGGAGAGTTCGTGTAGTGCAAATTTTGAAATAGCGTGCTTTGTGTTGTCACTGAAGCCTTCACAGTATTATCGTGTTAAGGCATTTTATTTTTTGTTGCTCATATTAAATTGAGTTCTCCTTGCTGCGAGAGTGGATTCCGTCATAAGAGTTTGACGCAGCCCTCGTCAAGTCGGGCCTACCCATAATGCACATGTTCGCTTCAGGGCTTCGCTATTTATAAAACCCAGTTAAAACATATACCATCTCAAGCAATTACGTCACGCCTATTCTTCGGTAGAACGCAATACATGACTCTGTAATCACTAATCCATAATTACTATTGTTTCTAGAGAAGATTATTTTTAGGCTATTTGATGACACTGATTGAAATGTGGAGCCTATATAACGTCAAATGATGTAGTAAAATTATGAAGAATGCCATCTTCTGGGATGAGACGCCCTCTAGACATTGTGTAAATCCACGTTTCGGAGGAAAGTATCGCCTCCATCTTCAGGGTATAAAAAGTCTGCCAGCGACGAACCAGCGTGTGCAGGTGGCTGCATACTGAGTGCCAGTTATACAACTCTTCAGGAAATTTCCAACTTTCATGGAAACCAAATGCTCATCACAGTATTCCAAGAGCCCGTCAAAATGTCCATATTCTGAACCATTTTGATTCAGTACACATCATCATACAATTGGTCAAACATCCATTTCAATGTTATCTTCCCACCTACGCATCCCAATCGGTATCCAATCTCCAGGTTTCTCAGTCAAAATTTTGTATAAATTTCTTCTTTCTCCCCATGCATTTCATTCAGAAAACGAACGTCGTTATTAAATTTATGAACCTAAAGCGATAGGAGCTGAAAAGGACTATGAAATTAAAAATATTTTTGTGCAGAACTTTGCAGTACGTGAGAAACAAATCTTCCGCGTAATATCGTCCTTCAGTAAACCAGAGCTCGTAGCCTGAGCACATGCACACTACAATAGCTGCCCCTTAAAAATTCCCCTCTCCAACATCAACGTACAGCTCTGCTATGTGTATACAAGGGCTGACGGGAATCCAGCATCCACTACTTCATTGTTGCAGTGGGATGGGGAAGAGCAGACAGAGACGGTGAGATATCAGAGAGAGAGGGAGAAGCGGCTTTTTGTGGTATTGGTATAGAAGAGGGGAAGTTGTGTATAGCGGCAGGGAGGGGGAAGGATTGTAAGTAGGGAACAGAAGAAGAGTGGAAAAAACTGTGAGGTTAGAACGAGGGGGAGGGGTTATTTTGTATGTGAAGGGGGAAGGGGCAGAGGTTGGTTTAGTACATAGACCAGTGTAACAGTGTGTATGGCAGCATTTCGGGAGTTGCTACCGAAGGTAGAAGGTCAGTTGTAGTCGTTGTCAGATTAGTACGTTTGTAGAGCTCGTTGAGAGAGTGAGACTGTGGCTCGAAACCAGGAGACCAAAACAGTGTTATCATTCCACGCGTCACAGAACTCGTAGCTGACCGGCGTGATATGTGCGTGTTATGGGAACACGACTGAAGTCAATGTGAGAATTTCTCGAACAGTTCCAAGTCTGAAGATTATGAACTCGGTGAATTCTGCAAGTGTAGTGTTTTAGTTTCTCCCCTAGTTCCGCTCATGGCAGCTGCTACTACATTAAGCCTTATGACAGTCGGGCCTCAACAGAAGACGATGACAAATCTAATTCAGCCATCGTCGGCTACAACGTCCAGCCCTTGCGTCATAGTCACGACAACGGGTGCGTCAGGCACGCAGCACCAGTCATCGCATCTCCTGTCCTCACCCCTCCTCCATCCTGCTGCAGCCACAAAGACAGTCCTAGTCCAACAAAAAAGGGCTACCGCTCCAACCTCAACCTCTTCTGCAGACACTGGCAGAACCAGCGTCGTAGTGAATATGTCCGCCTCATCTGCCAGCACAGCTGACACACTGAGGTGTAAGCGACGGATAAACTTCTCTCATAACACCCACCTTACATATTCTGGCCTACCTGGACATCAGCCGGCGTCTGTCGCCCGTCGGAACGCCAGGGAGAGGAATAGAGTTAAACAGGTCAACAACGGATTCGCTACTCTGCGATCCCATATCCCACTGTCAGTAGCGGCGGCCTTGTCGTCTTCCGCGGGATCCGGTAACGGGTCTGGAGGTCGTGGCGCCAGCAAGAAGCTCAGCAAAGTCGAGACCTTAAGAATGGCTGTCGAATATATCAGAAGCCTTCAGCAGCTGCTGGATGACCACGCTGCTGAAACGTCTTCAACGACTTCCTCAATACCAGAAACAGGGTCCTCAGCCCTGACGACAACGACAAATGAAACAGAGTACTACTCCAGCGGTTCGGAGTCATCGGTAACTATCTTTACTGCCACAGCGACCCTGCCGGTTGGAGCACAACATTTCACTCACCACACGTCAGGGAGTAGCCACCCTCTACTTATACAGCAACAGGCGCCTCTTACGGGCTCCTCACTCTCGCCGCCCTGCTCAGAAGCATCGTCGTCACCGACGCCTTCATACGCGTCGGAAGGTTCAGGTTCTGCCGTATCTTCATACGCACCAACATCAGTGTACCAACAAGAAAATTACGAGAATTACGAACCAATGAGCCCCGAAGATGAGGAGCTACTGGATGTTATCTCGTGGTGGCAACAAAGCCAGTGACGGTTGCTACTAGCCGCACATATGGGAACCAGCCGGTCTAGACGGGACATCCATTTAGCAGACGTGGAAGAATGGGCGAGGAAAGAGACCCAACGAAACGGTAAGTAAGCCAATTTCCATTATATAATAAATGTGTTTCTTATAAAGCGGCCCGACCAGTTCCACACACTCGCTCACACGAAGGGAGTACTCGGCCTTGACACACAACCAACGTCTGACTGGCTCTCTCGTCTGTAGACGCTTCAATAGTAAAACACATGTCTTGTACCCGCACGTCAACTTCTTCCTTGCTGCTTTTCTAATGTGCCGGAGCTACTGACTTGACTGGTCGATATAATCCATTTTGTATTCAAGTTCGTCTTCAGTGAAAGCGGAATGACTTTTCGTTGCTTGTGTACCAACAAAATTACGTAACAAGTAGCAAGTAAGTTAAAACATATGTTCGAAAATATGAAACTATCTTGGACACAGCGCTTCAAAAACTAAAAGACCTGTAACAATTTGTATTCTTTGTACAAGAAATGACCTTAGCTGCTCAGCTTACTGCATGAAGTAGAACATAATGATACACAAATGTTTTCCTTAGCGATGGGTACTAAGTAAGCAGTCTGGTTTCGTTGATAGTGTGAATCGGAAGGAGACAGAATATGTGTTACAAAATCATATTGGATCACTAGTTTTCGTATCATAGAACACACATCCTGCGTCATGTCTATGGGAGATGCAGTAAGAACAAAGGCGCTCTATTTTCTTAATGTGTCTCAGTATGTTCTATAATATGGGGAGGAAGTCTACCCAGACTTACGATAAAACTGAGGCGTAGCAAAAAAAAAAAAAGGATACGTAGGAACAGCGTGCTAATAAATTTAATCCATAAGCCTTACGATCCATACAGGCTTGCGCCTGCGCTTCTCGTCTGGTCCCATTTTTCTACCTGTTTTAAAATTTCAAAAGAAAAAATACTTCCCCTAGCGATTTACAAGGCAGATTTGAAGAACAGAAAATTCAACGAAATTAAAACGTTTGTCAGGTACATTGTGACATTAAATAGTGTATGTTGTAAAGGTAAATTTATGCCAGTGTGTCTAATAAACTTTAAAAATAAAATTACTGTGTTTTGAAAATATCCAATTTTGATATTATGCTATGTATTAGAATTAATACTGAGACGAGAGAGGGTTTAACATTTTTATCTCCTGAAGAGAAAACAAATGTAATAAGTGAATTTTAGGTTCTCACGACAGTGGCTATGAAAAGTGTATCTGAACATGGCTGCGTGTAGTCTGGTAGAAATTAACCGAAATTTCGGAAGAACGTTCTGTTTCAATGAGCTTGCTGCTTGCTTGATTCCTCAGTTTCCTCTTCGATCCCTGAAGATGGAGGCAGTAAGTGCTTAAGAAACTTTGGTTAGTGCCAATCAGACTACACGACGTCACATCCTAGAACACTGCTATTTTAGGCTAGCAGTAACGGTATAAGAATCCTAGTCGTGTGACGTGGTTTCATATTATTATATAAGTATTAACATTATTATTATTATTATTATTATTATTATTATTATATAGCACAGGTAAAGCAGGAAGTACCTGGGAAAACAAAGGAAAGAACCATGAGGGCGAAATGTTTCAACTGGAACGAAACACGAGATTTCCTGTAGAAAATGAACAAGCACATTGGGACGAAAACCCTCTCCCTGTATTATGCTCATATATGTAACTTATGTGTATACTGAATGCTGCGAGTCGTGTGCAATGCTCAGAACAGGTAGCCACGAGAAGGAAATTTTATTGCCTGGGTTTCTCATATGTATCAGGTAGCAGTCTACCCAGAGGGTTAGTGACAGGTTGCTTTAAGATGCCATGTTTCGAAGGGGAAGGCCAGATGGATAGTGTCAAACATAGGCGAAGATAAATAAAAGCGTGGGAGAAAGTTCCTTTCCCCAACACACACACACACACACACACACACATATATATATATATACACAACTTCAACTATTATCAACCAAGCTGGTTAAATGTGACTTCCGTGGTTTTCGTCAATCCTTTCAGGCAAATTCCTGCGTAGTACTTCGATTAGGCCTCGAGTGCGTCCTTTCAAATCCTTTCCAATTCAGCAATAATTCTACTATTTGACGCTATTTATATACTGACAAATTGGACTTCCTTAACATAATTTTGGCAGAAAATGTTTAGAATTTGTTTCTCATCCTTTCATGTATTTCCGTGACATAAAATGAAGTATAGATAATCCTTAGTTATGTAAAGGTCACTGATTCCCTTAAAAATTAGGTAACGAAAGGTGATATAGGACGATAATAGAGGTATTAAATAAAATTAATAAAATAAAAATAAAATGCTCCCAAAATCATGCATGCGTAGGTGCCTTAACAAAGACAGTTTGGTGTGGTGGAAGAAATAAAAGTAAAACTCTGCGTCCAAATAAATAAAATGGACCTGTATCTACCAAGAGAAAGATCTGAGACATTTCGCGAAAGAGCTTAATGTTTCTGTTTTGCTGCATTATGCAACTCGATTACTACCATCAGATTCTTAACTGTATACATCTAGTCTGTTACTCTTACTGAATTCCACAGTGAAGTACCTTCTTTCACGTCCTGATAGTTGGTCAGTTGGTAGAGAAATTACCTGCTTACAAAAGTCAGAAATTCGTCGCTGTCTTCACAAAACGCTCACCAATTTGCCCCATCCAAGGTCAGTTATTTCCAACTTCGTACTAAATTTCTTTTGAGATTCATATTAGTACCATCCGACTTTCTAATCTTATGTCTCGTAAGTTGTTTTCTCTTCTGGTTAAAACAATTTAACAAATAAATAAAACTCAAATATGTAAATACAATTTTGGCTCATTTCGCTATACGTATGTTACATGATGTACACACATCATCGTAGTAACAACATTCTGTGAAAAGTGTAAATTATGAAACTTCTCAATACGTACTCAGAATTACATAGTTTTTGGACTTCGTCCATCGTCCAGTATTCTAGTAACTAGAAAACACCATTTCGGAAGCTGGGTCTGTTTCCGACCTCAGAAGGGGAGAAGGCATCTACTCTGTTAGGTCCAGTGATTGAGGCTAGCGCTTTCTAAGGGACCCAACAGAGTAGGTGTCTTCCCTCACCTGAGGACGGAAACAGATCCAGTTTCCGAAACGTTGGGTTTTCTAATTTATAGAATACCGGGAGATGGACAAAGTCCAAAAACCCAGTAATTCTGAGTGTTACACACCATCGTCAGAGCCCTTTAGAATCTACTTCCCAATACGCAGTATTCTTATTCCTACTGTCGCTTGTCTGTGTCTTACGGATACTGCCCTCATCTCCCTGTTCACAAACACCCTCAACCTTCTTCGCGTTAGATATAAAGTTAATAAATCTAAAGGAAAGTCAACTTGACTACGAAGTTGCTTCAGCGGGAGACATTCGGATGAATCTGATACTGAGACCTCCGTTACTGGCCGAGGAACCTTGCTCTACCTGTAGCTGAATGAATTCAGCCAACTTCGATCTTTGTATAATAGCTCCAGCGTTCAATGCTCTCGTTTTCCATAACCTCTATTCAGAAAACCCAGTCTTTCGTTACGTTGATCTTAAAAGTCCCTTTGAAGGTTGAAAAAAAAAACATAAGAAACCTCTCTCTCTCTCTCTGTACCTTCTTCTCCATCTTCTTTTCGGTCTTAGACTAGAAGAGAAGCAGGAGGTGGTTTTGAAAGGACATTTTAAAAATATTTCTGAAAGGAATATAAAAGAAACCACTGCCTTCAAAAGAGATCCTTCTTGCCAGACGAAGTTTAAGGTGGCTTTGCACAATGATTACCTTATTGCTTGGGATTAAAATCTATGAAGAATTTTGGTTGAAACTGGGGTGGGGGGATGAGGCTCTAGTTTAGAAAGGAAACCCTGGTCGACTCGCAAAAAGTAAATACAAGTTCAGACCAAATACTAGCCTTTCCGAATATATTGAACATTTTATGTGATGTGAAGTTTGCGTGCATATTATTGGTAGAGAGAAAATGAAGCGTTCGTTATTTGTACAGCCGACAGAGAAACATTTCTTACAAATGAATGTTTATTACTTAATAAAAGTTGTTAATGACAAGACCTTGAAAAAGGTTCTTAACTTGAGAAAAATTACTGCAGAATTCCTAATTGTTCGTGTTTTGAAGGATTGCTTAAAGCAGAGTAATAATAACTTTTACATATAAAATATATATGACTCTCAGTACAATTTTACAACCAATTGTGCTAAAATATTTTTTTCGGAGGCTGTAAAATAGTACATAATTAATTCGAAGGCATATATTTGCAGCCATTCAGTGTCTATACAACCAGAAATGAAATTGACGTCACTTGGCACTTGAATAGGGAAATTGCCCCTACTTCAGCTTCACGCCATTCATAATCTTGGAATTCGATGGAGTCACACGAATCCAGCCCTACACACCCTGATCCACATAACATTATTCTCCCATCGAGGACTAGAACTTCCAAGTGACCCCTTTCTTTCATGACTTCGTAAAAGTAAAAAAAGTAAAGCTATCCCTGTACCAGGCCGTGAAGGCCCATAGGGTTGTGAGACGTTGAGGGTCCCACATTATGTAGACAATCGGCTCAAAGATGGCGGTAAGGTTGTCAGCCTTACGCGCCGGCCGTGCTTTACTCCCCAGGAAAATTGTTTAATTAATTCCTGGTACTCACTTCTGTTAGAGGCTGAGTCGACCCCAAGGCCATAGTGCGGCTGGAAGGATTAGGCGAATTGAAAGAAATTCAATGACCACATCGGGACTTGAACCCGCGACCTTCTGGCTTGTAGCATAGCCCCTACCGCGTGCCCCTTTTCATGGCTTCGTACCAAATCTTTTCATGCATTTCACTTTTGTCCCATACATTTTACATGCCATGCTCATCTCATTCTCCGTGATTTGATTATAAGAATTACTTTTTAAAGAATACAAAGCTGAAGTTATTTATTATGCATTGTTCTTCATGTCTTCCTTTTATGCCTAAATAAGTTCGTCTTGAGTAGCTTCCTGCTCTCAAACACCCACAAATCTACGTTCTTCTCTTATAAGAATTGAATATAAAAAGTAATAATTCCTCTCTGAACAAATTATGACCTAATATTTTGTTTGTTTCAGATGGATGTGCATCTCGTGCCTGAACAGCAGTAGAGAGCCTTAACATAAAGCAATGCAGTCAATGGGTTTGGAATCTCGAAACGTTGACTCACCAGGCCAAATCATGAATTTTATCGAAGGAAGATCTTCATTTTTCTTTGTCTTTCAGAACAGGCGTGCCTTATTAAATTGAGACATATCTCGCCAGTTATTCTGTTTCTAAATAGAGACTGTTATATTTTGACTGATATATAGAAACAAGGTGATAACTGTTATGAACGTGTCTCGTGTGTTTTGAACCGTTGATTTTTCTAGTCAGATTTAAAATATATTTTATATTGTATATTTGTAAATATTTTAGATGAATTTAGTTGGATCTGGAAAGTTGTAACAGTCATTGTTATATCATTCCATTTGACTGCACACATTTGTGCAATTTATCATAGTAATCTTTATAGCTCGTTAACCAGAAACCCTGACGAAATAACGTACAAAATGCCATATATATCAGTATTGCATTTTATGAAATTAATTGTATCAGCAAGCTCACGAAATGCCACAAATATCTGAATTTTCATTCGTATCGCCTGGTCAAGTGTTGCCACTGCAATTTTTGCTGAACTGTACTCTTGACTGCCTCTGTGATCTAGTGGTCAGATCTTCTGGTTACAGATCCAGAGATCCCGGGTTCATTTCCCTGCGCCACAAGATTTTCTGAGAAGTAGTGAGTCTGAAACGGTATCCATTCAGCCTCGTGAGGATAATTGAGGAGCTACTCTAATGGAAAAGTAGCGGCTCTGGCCTAAAAAACCGAGATTAACGGCCGTGGGGATTCGTTGCGCTGAGCACGCGACACCCTCTATCCGCTGAGGTTGGCACTAACTTCGCCGACAAGCGGCGGTCGCTCTGTCTGTATAGTTCGTTTGCGGACTAAAAGCCACGGAGAGCTTGGTTTGTTTTTCTACTCTTGAAATAAAGTGAATATACAATGAAAAGTACATATTTTGGAAACTGTTTTGACAATCATTGTAAAGACTTAATTTTATATTTTTGCAAGAGAACATGCAGTGTAATAATTTGAACTTCGTGACTTACTGATCTCTGAAGTTGACAGTTTATTCCACTAAAGAAATATATCAATAAGGAATATATTTAGTAATTACTCAGGAAGAGAAGTGACAAGGTTTCTGTTCTTATTTAAATGTGTAAATTTCAGTAAAACATAATAGCTACTACACCCACCCTACAAAACATGATCTCTCTTCAAAGATAAGAAAGTGTAATTTTCACTCTGATATGTATTCGTCAAGAACAAACATGACATGTACATTTTATGGAGGTACGACTTAGAACATCTTATACATTCCGAATATAAACATTTTTGTATAGTAGTAAGTTAAACTTGTTGACTGTTTTAGTCATTATATGTATTTTATACATCATTTGTGATTATTTCATAAGACATTGTGCCTTACAGAACCTCGTATGACAAAACGTTTTCGTTCCAGCTAAGTACACGGTTGATGTGTACGTCATATTGTATCTCAAGACACTAAAATATTACGTATTTTGTCTCAGTCATAATATATGTAAGCCTAAACAGACAAAATTAGCTGGGAATGATAACATTTGGTGTACAGTACTTCTCAAAATTGTTCTCCATGACGCATTCCTTTGTTTGTTATTATGTTATATTTGTACATATATACTTTATTATGATGAAAAATACTGTTCAGAAGTAACGGAAACCTTTTATATCCCATCTCCTTTTTATATACAATTTTTGAAAATACATAAAATTTTGTATTATGTAAATTTTATTATTATCTATCTTTCAGGTAGACACAGCACAGTTCCGGCTACACCTCATTTTATTACCTTGCTCATTTCCTTGATGCTCCAAATACTTCTAAATACGTACGTTACTGGCTCATCATTCTAATACTCACTGTATTTCTGTCAGTGTTTCGTTCAGAATGAATAGAAAATGTAACGGCAACATCGGAGAGGTAAAGTTGTCCCTGTGCTTAATTAAGCACCATGCTATGAAGATGAATGAAAAGTGGAGGTACAGGTCCACGCATTCCCGCAGACTAAGCCCCAGTGTCCATTGCAGGGAATGCTCGGCGGGTTCCAAACTTTGCCTGTACACGGTGAAGAGAGAGAGAGAGAGAGAGAAATGTTTTGCTACGAGTAGGAATTTAATTCCTCAGCCATCAAACTCGTATATAACCTTTATGTATTTTTCTCTGTTTTCTTTCTCCACTTGCCCCTACTTTGGAGCGCAGGGCTGATTTCTCAGTTTCTTGATCATTTACAGGCGATAGGACTTCTTGGACGGATGATCAGCTAGCCGCAAGGCCTCTGCCTAAACACAGGACAACACAAACACAGAGAAACACACACCAAACATCGATGCCCTGAATGGGATCCGAAACCACGGTCCCTGCTTCCGAGCGAGGAAAGACAGTACATGCCATAGGCCGCTCAGCTACAGTGACCGGCATTTTGTATCTATGTACGACATCGCAAATATCGCAGAAAGAGGAAATACGGTGGTCTCAATATTAAGGCTGATGCATATCAGTAATCAGTAATTAAGTTGTATGTGTAACAGGGCCGTGTTTATCAGACGCACAGAGAGAACATTGAACATGTTTATGGACTTTCTTTTAAATTCGTCTAGTGGGAGGTGGGGGGTGTGGAGTCCAGCTGGGTCCACTCTGCACGCCGGCCACTGATTGGCCTATTGTACTTGCCCCTGATGATTATGTTGATGGAGAATTTGGTGGAATGAAGACTGGCAGGGGAAACCGAAGTACTCGGAGGAAACCTACCCCAGTGCCACTTTGTCCACCACAAATCCCACTTGACCAGATCTGGGCTCGAACCCGGGCCGCCGAGGTGGGAAGCCAACGACTAACCGCTTGAGCTATAGCGCAGCCATTGTCTATGGATCTTCTTCAGATCCTCAACTCAACGATTTCAACGTTTTAATTCGTTGTTATGAACTCATTACAGGCCCCAAAGTCAAATGCGGCAGACTAATATAGATAGAGATGGCGGTCTTCAGAAAGTAAAAAGGAAAAGCACTTCTCTTGGATCATGACTGTCCGTCTGTCAGTGACTTAGGACAGATTTAATAAAAATTTAACGTGAGATTTTGACCAAAAGCTGAAGAGAGCTTGTCTTCTGGAATGTGATATGCAGTCTGGTCGTTGAATTTTACAGACTTTTCGGTTGAACGTATTATCTCAGCGTTCAGAGACGTAAAGTTAGCCAATCGAGGAATAAAGACAGAGTAAGCAGCAAGCACAGCTTCTGCGTTTCTGAATGAGATTTGGACAAAAGTTATTAGTACCTTAGGAACATTTAGGGCCTTACGCGGGTTCTTAGAATGTTTACGTGGTTAAAATTTTGTATTTTTCTCACACATCTACGACAAAAAGGCACATCCTTCCTCGCCTCCGCCCGAAATTTCGTTTCGGGTAAAGTAGAACCTCTTTGACGAAGAATCTGAGATTTTAGTTTGCTACTTAAGCTTAAATTAAATATGATATTCCAATTTCGTCTCTCTGGATCCATTCGTAACAACTGTTTCTCCCATTGCTACTAGAGGCCCAGCAACAAAAGAGAAGCACAGTTAAAACAGAGACGTGTGCGCAGGCTTTGTACCGAACTTTGTTTTTGTCAGCTTCCATCACTTCAACTTTCGCATTTGGGGAAAATATTGCTTGAGAGGGTATGAGCTGTGAATGCATGTGATCATAAAAGGGAGGAAATAACAGCAGGGTGGAGAAAACTGCAGAAGGAACTTCATAACGTGTGTCTGGTCTTCACAGGATATTATCAGGGTGATCAAAGTAAGTAAAATAAGAAGGGTGGAGCATATAGCATGTATGTGAGAAATGATAAATTCGGAAAACCTGAAAGAGAGAAGCTACTTGAGAGACCTAAGAATAGTTGCAAGGATAATATTAAAATATTTTTCATATAAATAAAATATGGTGTAGACTGCATTTTTCTTTTATGGGGATAATTTTATTACTCTGTCAGCAGCTAGATTATATAACGTCCGATGAAAGGATCAGGGGTGAATGATGAACAGCGAGTGGAAGCGATCATGGTCCAATTTGCCTGCAGAAACCGAAGGAAACAATGAAAAAACTCAGAATAATCGGCTGAGATTTCGAACCGAGCGCCAACCTGTTCCGGGGATTCACGTTGAGCACGACACAGACCAGTGGCGAGCTCTTGTGATCATGATAACGTACTAAATTTTACGTTCCAGGCAAGGCATGACAGACTCTCAGGATCTCGAGAATGACTTTAATATTTGATATTACCACTCCATCCTACAGTTAATCACATATTAAATCCGTCGATATGTAGCACTATAAATATATGATAAGGGTATACACGTAAAGTTGCCCCTGTGCTTAATTAGTTAAGCATTACACCACGAAGACATGTGGGAGTGGAGGCATACCTCCACCATTCTCGACCTCGGCACTAGATGGAGGTGAGTGTTCAGCTTCACGCCCCTGCCTCTTTACGCCCGGGAAAGTGTGGCGGTATCCATTGCATAGGAATCTGGGTGGGACCGAGAACCAGTCACAAAAAAAGAAAAGAAATCAAATCAAGCAAGGAGAAATGACCCTGGAAACAGCAATAAATATTACAGGAAGATATGTGATAAAAGCAAATTTAATTATATTTGTGTAATGCTATTTGTTTTATAAACCTAATACTTTTTCAAGAATGATTGCTTCATGAATTAGTCACTGTCACAACTGTTTCGCGAGGCCTCCTGCCAAGTCCCTACAGTCTCCCCATGATCACATCTGAATTCACAGTCTGTGCTATTCGAGCGGAATATTTAAATTACACTCATTCGATCATTCACTCCGTCACGTAACGGTTGCGTGAGTAGGCAAGCCTGCGTCTCTCCCGTCTGCACTCGCTGTGTGCATATATCGCATCCGGGGGGTGGGGGAGGGAGCTGGGCGACACAATAAGACTGCTGTCTCTCTAAGGGGGCCCATACACGTATGAGTCTGGCTCGCGAGTCCGACTTGGCTCGGATTCCAATGAGCCAAACTCGTCCGTGTGTGGGTCGCCACGCTCATACGTGTGTGGTGAAATTAATCCGATCCAGGCTCCTCGCCGAACCTTACTCGCGAGCGAGTCTCGTACGTGTACGGGCAGCCTAAGACTATTGCTAATATCTCAGAGTATTTAAAACCGCTATATCAATTATGTCAGCAAATTTAAATGAAACACCTAGAAGCACCTATGACCGCCTCTGTGGTCTAGTGGTCAGAGCTCCTGCCTACAGAGCCAGAGGTTCGGATTAGATTCTCGGCGCTACCAAATTTTCTGAGAAGTAGTGAGCCTGAAACGGGGTCCACTCAGCCCCGTGAGGATAACTGAAAAGCTATTTCAAGGAAATAGCGGCTCCGGTCTAGAAAACCGAAATTAAGGCCGTGGGGATTCGTTGCGTTGACCACCTGACATCCCGTATCCACAAAATTTGCACTATCTTCGCCGACAAGCAGCCGTTGCTCGGTCGGTATAGTGCGCTTGCGGATTACAGGCTACGGAGTTTTTTGTTGTTGTATCAACTATACGAGTATATTATGTATAGTGTCTTATGGAAAAATGAATGAGAATTATTAATATGAAATAATATTTTTAAGGTAGTAAGTG